CCATAAACTCTGGCACCGCACCTGCTATCAGAATACAGTTATAGGATGGCCTTTAGCGGCTGGGAAAGGGAATCTCATTTGCACGAAAGCATGCCCACAAACTGTTGTGTCGGAACGGGGCATACGCTTTCTCTAGGTTCACAAAACACACGTACACCAGCTGGGCGTACTCCCACGATTTCTCAACAATCCAGCGCAGGGCAAATATATCGTCAAAGCTGCTTCGACCGGGTCGGAAGCCACACTGCTCTTCCTGGATCTTGAGGTCAACTATTTCACGGCACTTCCGTTCTAACACCTTTGCGCAGACTTTACCTGAGGCTCAACAACGTTATGCCCTATAATTGGAGCATTCCTTGTGGTCCCCTTTCCTGAATACGGGTACAATAACTCCTGTTCTCTAGTCCGCTGGTGTCTTTCCCGCAGTCCCCGCAGGTTGACAGAGACGGTTAGCCGGTACATGCCTTGTTCGCCTAATGCCATGAGCATCTCAGGGCGGACCGTCAATTCCGGCAGTTTTTCCATTTTTCAAGCTTTTCACAACCTCTGCAATTTCATCTACAGAAATAGTAATATCCGTACCCTTCTGCTCTACAGGCGAGTCTTCCTGCTGTTGCGCGAGGTTAAGGAGTTTTTCAAAATACTCCCTCCATCGCCGAAGAATGTCATCATCCTTGGTAAGAGGGTGTCCAGATCTGTCCTTCAAGACTCTGGTATGTGCGTCTTTTCACCTCGGAGCCGGCGGATGGTCTGCCGGAATACTTTGTTTGCCGTGTGGAAATTGGACTCCAACGCCTCACCGAACTTCGGCTTTTGCCACCGCTATGGCTGCCGCCTTCCGTGCTTCGACATATCGCACGCGAGTAGATTGCTCCTTGTTTCCAAGCCATCTCTTGAACGTTGCTTTCTTCTTCTTAACTACCAGCTGTACCTCTCGTGTCCACCATGAAGATCTTTCCTGACCTCCAGGCGGCAAGCCAACCCGTTTATATTCGCAGCATTCGACGGCAGCTTCGAGTAGGCCTCTCTTAAACAGCTGAAACTCGGTTTCAATATCAGTTGTCATCGCTAGGATCTGTTCAAACCGTCGTGAGATGTTGTTTGCAAATTTAGCACACGTGTCCAACGAAGACAATGTTTCTAATATCATTTTCCGGTTGCTTCTGCCACCAGACCTTCGCACAGTACTCCATTTCTTACAGCGCAGCGTGCCAACAACAAGATGATGATCGGTTCATAGCTCTGCGCCTCTTTTAACGCGAACATCTATTACTGAGCGTCTTAGGTCAGACGATATTATTATCAAATCAATCATCGACTTCTGTGCACATGCTTCCCGGTACCAGGTGTACTGACGCACTTTTTGAAGCTCGAAGAAGGTGTTCATAATGGCCAATACGTTGTTTGCACAAAACCACAGCAACTTGATGCCGTTATTGTTGAGGTCGCTAGGGCCGTTTTTCCCAATCACGCCGTTCCACTTTTCAACGTCTACTCCGCGGATTAAAATCGCCCATCAGTATGAGGGACTCTGCATTCGGCACTTCGGGCAGAGCACAACGCACTTCCTCACCGAAGGTCTCATATCCTCCTTCGAAATTGGGCGCATAGAGCTGTACCAAGGTCATCGATTTAGCTTGTTATAGCTTCAGTCGGAGGATTACCTTTCCGCTGATAGGTTTCCGATCGATTATTCTATCGGCAAGGTTGGGTTCTACCGGAACGTCAACACCGGCCTCAGCGCGAGTCGTGATTTGGACGCCTGAGTAGAACAGCTTCCATCCACTGAGGTTCAGGAGTCCAGAGCGCCATTTGCCCTGCGCCAGATTGTGAGAGTACACCCAGCCGGCCCATGTGTTTTTTAGACCTAGAGTAAGCGTATGACCGGATCCTACGCAACATTCTGTGGACATGCCTTCGTGCGTACGGGATTGATGGCAAGTTGCTAAGGGCCATCCAATCACTGTATTCTGATAGCAGGTGCTGTGTCAG